AGTAATAACTAGCATTAAAAGCGCGTAAAAATCGCCCGATGAAATCGCAGAAGCGCCTCCATTTCTACGATCGAGCGAATCACTATTATGTGCCGGGAAGTTTGCGCCCCGTCTTTAAGAATCGGCGCGCGGTTGCAAGAACCGTCGCGTCGCTGTGCACTCTACATACAGCATGCCCGACAAGAGTGTACTGTTCATGTCTCTGCAAAAATGAATATCCCTTAAAATAATTAATTGTATAAATACGATGGTGTGAAATGGATTAATTTTCTAATTACGACTGTTAAATAGAAAACTACTATATCTTCAAAAATCCATTATGGATCGAGTGTAATTAATTATATAATCTTAACAGTCCCAAAATATGAATTTTTTAAAATTGAAAACCAATACACTTTTAAGCAACTCATTGTGAATCGAAACTGATTAATCACTTATTCATCTTCTTAATAATACCATTTCCTTTCTAACTAAGTGATTATTTTCTTGAAACTATTATATTTAAAACCTTTCCGACAACTCTCGCGAGAGTTTCAATTCCAAAACTTCATTACATTTTTACGAATAATAAGCCGTTGACAGTTCGTTGACAGTTTATACGACTGGGAGTAAAAACGGAATTCATTGTTGCAGCCCACAATGCACGATGTTGAACACGGCCCTACATACGCAAAAGGTTGCGCATCACTGTTCTATTTCTTCCACGTCTCTTCCCTATGCACGTTCGGTTTTCTTCGATCATATGTTTTGCCATCTACTCTTCCACCAGATCTTTGCTCTCCGATCATCCTCTTCTTCGTTTCGCTCCGCGGACGGGTCCTTTAACTGGATCGGTCGAACGTAACAATAAAAACCGGCACGAAAGTCATAAGCATGTATGAGTTTCTTACGCGCGATAATAAGTTCAGAATGATTGCCGTTTGTATTCCGCCGATGGTGCACCCTTTTTCTTTCGCCGTGCTACTTCACGATGCGAATCCACGCGTCCCCCCTCGACGGGTCATTCTGTATTACGATGAGGAAAGAAGTGTCCCGCCACTGATTCCTTTTCGCACGTCGTTCCATCGAGGCCGACTCTCTGAATGTTTGCCACCGGTTATGCAACGAAACCGCAGTCGTCGGATTGGGATGGAGGTGTTGCAATAACTATGAAATAACGACGAACATATTTAATACTTTAACGTAAGGATGTGTTCTATATATTATTTATAATTGCGTAAGAATATATTAGATTGGTAGAAAGGTCTTGTATTCTTTAAACTTTGTAAGGTAAGCGCACTATTAAGTTAGACTTCGTTGAACTATATGCGTTAAATTGAAAGGAACATGACTTCTTAGCCAACGTAATGTTTTGTGTATTCTTTATAATTGTAATTGACATATTTCGTATATTCCTATGTAATTATATTACAGTCTAATGTAATAAGTATATTCTTATGTCTGTAAGAATATATGTAGTATTTTAGTTTGTAGTTTGATAACTAGACTGTTCATGGAATTCGAACTGTTTGCACTTGACATGCGAGTTGCGTTGGCATATTGCATTTCAGAAAATCGCATCAATATCGTATCATGATATATTGCGAAGTGTAAACATGTGTAATAGACAAAGAATTCATTAAAAAATCTAAGATCTAAAGTTTCTCGATCATAAAATGACTAGTTACAATTTGCTTAGTCGAAATGAATGTAAGATACCACTATTCTGTAAGGAAATGAAAAAATTCAACTACTTATCTCATTATACGGATCTTTCGCCGTAATATTAATTTGACTGCGTAGAATAAGCGAAACTGGAAAAGTGAATGATAGACGAGAATTAAGGGTTCTTACGAGATTCAGATGAAACGGTAATCCCATTATGTTCTATTAAACATTTTTGTTATAGTGTTACAATCGAATCGAACCCGATCTATAGATTTATTCTATACTTGCGGAGCAATAAAAGCCCGAGGTAATTACACATCAACGTAGATATTATTTACCGCAATTGAAACTCTAATAGACGAATCTATATAATCTGTTGACAGTTATTATTCTCGTGTTCGCTACAGTTTCGCAACAGGATCTGCGATTCCCATTCAATTTATCGATAAGCATCGGGGGTCTTGACTGGGTCTGGGTTAGGTCGTGGTAACGCACACCACCGATATTAATCGACAATGTTATCGCCGGGCAGTAACTCTGCTCCAGTCATTGGAAACGATGTCTGACCTTTCCAGGCGTTATGTACCGGCGAACGTGTAATTACAGAGAGGTAAATCGATTCTACGGTTCTGATTGATTTTACTTGTTCTCATTCTATGAGATGTTCATCGCGACTGCACCGAGGCCAGCCATTTCCCGATACGAGCGCCCCGATGCTCGCAATTTCTGGGTTTGTTTTAAGATGCGATCGCGCCGTAGACATCGGATTCGAGGATCTACACCGTTACCGGCGAGTTTATTTTTGTCAAAAGGATGCTACCACGAACATGATTGGCTAACCTCTCCATTCGCCGCAGATGTTCCGACTTATGCCTATTTGATTACTCAAGTTCTCCGCTCTCCCTTGCTGTTGATTTTGTACTGCGTCAGCTTCAAATGAAATATTTATGTCTTCCTGAACATGCCCGATAGACAGTGAGAAATATTGTTTCATTCGATAGCAGAAGATTGCAACCTGTATGAGGTAAATATTAGTTAACCTCTACAACGAGCAACTCCTCCAAGTTTACTCGAATAAAAATCACTATCAATTCTGTAACGCCTCGAACCTATATTCCAATCTGACTTCATTCTTTATGATATACCAAATTCGCAGATAATGACCGCATGAATATTCACATTCAATGCTAACATTCGTATCATCGAAAACAACATAAATACAATATTACCCGCATTAATACAAATATACTAATCAAATCAAGTTAAACAATTTGCAGTTGACTATACCGAAAAACGAGAGATACAACCAATCGAATCGAAATGAAACGACCTAACTGCAAAATGATTACGAGTATCCTGTATTTAATGGCTCAACTATTTCTATCTATTGTGTAGGCCGATATTTTTGAATATTGAATCGCCACTCGATAACTGGCACAACCACAGCCACTCCAGTAGTGTTAGTATACGCAATCTTCGATAACACGCACACTTATCGTTCGATCCATCCAATAGAGTCCACGCTACCCACGCTATTTAGTTATAACGAACGCGTTCTATGTTCCAGCGTCGGGCTCAGCGTGGGATGCAACGCGCGGTGAATCCAAGTTTAAAGCAATTTCCGGGGCAAAGTCGCCGCGCCGCTATCTCCTGGATGGATGGCGTCAGGGCGGTTTAAATGAACCGAGTCTGCATCGGTCGCCGGCGCGGCCCGCCATCGGTCAACACGCAATACGCTTTGACAAGTACAACAAGTGGCGGATGCTTCGTGGTGGTCGCCGGGGACGGGGAAAAAAGAGACGTCAAGGTATCGGGCTGAAGAGGAGGAAGAAGAACGTGCCGTGGGGTAAAGGAAATCCTTCGGCGGGATGGGGCACGCGGGGAAAGAACTGAAACAAGTCGGAGATGAGAAAAACTCGCGAGGAGTACCTAAGTGTATTATCTTGTCGCGTTAGGCATCTCCAGGATCGAAATTTACATACGCTTGAATTGTTCTCGCGATTTACTTAGTGAAACTTAAACGGATTTACCGTGAGCAATTAAATTGACTGATGGAAGGAACTGTTGTTGACTCGACTAATTGCATTGGAAGATTAACTTCGGATCTGTGAGTTTCCTTTTGTGTTATTCACTTTCTATTCATGTTGTTTTGTGAGATGTATTCGTGTAAGTAATTGTATTTTATTTAAAGTGAATTAATTGAAATTTTGGAAGGTTATCATGTATCATAGATACATGAAATTCTGCAATATAATTGAGTCGGATGCTAATAGCTCGTTACAAAGTTATTTGTCACTGTGAACAAAACAGGCTTCTATTTATTTACTCTCGCTCCATATTTAAATTCTCTGAACATTTCCAAGAATGATATTACCACACATCCTCATCGAACAAGTTATACCTTAGTCATAAAACTTTTCCGGGTGGCCGCAAAAGCGTGTTTCACACCTCGAGGCGCGTCTCTTTACAGAAATTCGAGACGGGCGCGTATCGGAGCATACTCAGGGCCGTATGAAGTAACTCGGTTAAAATCTATTCTCCACCAGTATCACCGCGAAAAGTCAATTACTCAAATTTAAGGGTTGCTCATCTACACAAATGATCGGTATTTTTATCGGTATATCGATACAAAGATATCTGAAGGGAATTGAGGTCTAATTGGTCAGGCTGGAAAAGTGTTATTCGCCTATACCAACGCGTGACGATATAAATTAACCCTTATCGCTCCAAATTCCTTCAGACTATCTTCCCAACAAGTCCGCCCTTTTATTTAACATGTAAAATAATTGGTAAATAATAAACAATCGTTCCCCGTTTATTTTGAAGACACAAAGAGATACAATTTCAAAGTATCAACACTAACTATACAATAACATCCTTAAATAAAATTGATACCAAACCACCGACAAGGATTGAACAAAAATCAAAGTTCACAGCAAAATACCCAAACCTCCCTGTGTCACCATAATATCCACTAACTTCTTTCAAACAACCTACAATTCGCATTCCCTCGAATTCCACCGTTAAAACCATGAAACAGTGATTCAGTGATCCCAAGGACGTTCCGCGCGATTAGCAAAGGGTCGAAGAAGGGTGCCGAGCGGAACAAAGTAGCGAATATGAAAAGAAAACAGAAGCGAGGGAAACGTGCGTATCGCAAGAGGCTGCGACAAGGTAAACTCCGACAGTATAACCTATCAGGTTGGCCAGGAGAGGAGAGTCGGGGGAGAGCGAGCGAGCTAAGCAAAAGCCGAGTAGAGGCCCCGGCCAAGGAAGAGCTAGGTCGCCTCGGCGGAGGTGAGTAGGGATGGATCGAGGCAAGGCGTATCGGCGAGGCACACTGAGAAAACGGGTCCAAAGCCGTCGGGACTCGGCGAGGCTCTGGCGGCGCGTTCACTTCCCGCTCGGACGCAGTACGCTACGGACTCTCGCGCAGGCGAGATTGCACCAATCCGCTCGGTCGATCCGGCGACCACGTGCGCCATCCGCGACGTTACGAACGTGGGACCCGGCGTTGTTTTGGTGCCGACCCGGCCATGTGTTTTCGGTAACGGAGGACGGTCCATTGTGCGGGACAAACGGTGGTAGCCTGTCACGTTGGGATAGACGGAGCGATACTTTGAATTAATGAGGAATTTCATTGTGATTGGTTCGATATTTGGAAAAGCTTGATTTCAGGGAGGTATTTTTGGGATAGTATTGGAAAATGGAGGTTCATTGATTATCGATGAATAAGTTGAAGGGTAGTGTGAATGGAGGCTTCGTATATTTAGGTTTCTGAAATTCGAGAACTGTTACGAGTACATCGGCCTACGAGGTAGATGTCGAGGTAGATGCGGTCTTAGAGGCTGAGATTTGCATCGGAAAGACAGCGGAAAGGAAGAAGAATATTGTTGTAGATAAAGAAGGATTACCAGTGACGTGTACTGTCGTCGCAATAGGAAACGCCCAAGAATCGCTCCCCGGGGGCGGTAAAAAAAGGAGAGCCGCGAGCGTGGAAAATATCAATGAACCCGTGATTTTACGATTTTCATTAACATATCGGCGTGCGTGGGGTAAAAACATGTCGCGCGGCGTTCCTAGGCGATCGTTAGTCCGGGAAGAGCGGAAGAGGTGATACCGATCATTCCGCGAGAGGTTCGCGCCGGTCGACGATTAACAAACAAAACGAGAGAACCCCGAAAAAAGGAGCAAACCGCGCCCGCGGACGCTCGCGGAGGGAGAGGGAAAAAAGGGGAGACGAGAATGAGAACGAGACGTGGTTAAGAAGAAACGCGAGTGGTAACGAGTCCCCGGGACGCTAAGGCGGTCCGGCAACTTAGCCAGGCTACGGCCGGGTGGAACTGGCCGCGACACCGGGTAATGCCGAACGGGGTTTCCGTTTTGCTCGATTTAATTCGTTCGTCGTAAATAGAGGCGGCGATCGGGTTCTCACGGCCGTTGGATTGAAACGGTGCCCGTGACGCGGACGAATCGATCCCCGCGACAAAGAAACGCGGTCGTTCTGGTACGCTAAGTTTCCAGGCTACTTGCCCTGGCGCCTAGCGTGGCGCTCGAGAAGCTGGAGCGGCGACGAGCGAATTGAGCCTGGTCACGTTATCGTGGTAACGGCGGAAGATTCATGGGTGCCCATCACGACGATTCCCAGATGGTCCTAGAGATTCCCGTGCACTCGATCAAGTAGCCACCCCCCAAAGATCGAGGCAAGAACGCTGCTGATGATGAAATAGCTGGGATGGAGCCAAGGGGGATGACGATCGAACAGGATCGACGAGGGCCAGAAGAAACGCGGATACGCAAAAAATGGCAGCAACGACGGAGTTACCGGGTTAATTAGATTATCGACGGTGTCCCCGGGAGCAGCTCGCAGAAGGCGCGCACTCGGCCAGGCACGACCATACATGGTCCACCGTGTCCCACGTAGCGAGGGAAGAAGCTGGCGGCAGGCGACGCGTGGGAGGTCGAGGCTGGTTACACGCCGGTTTTTACGCACCCCAGGAAGAGACAGATTCGTGTGCTCACCTTGGGAGAGCCCACACGCGGCAACTACCGCCGCGACTATTAAGCAGCGCGCGCTCGCCCGAGTTAGAGGCACCGGTCCCCTCCCCCCGGTCACGCTCGGTACGCGCGGCGCCGGGCAAACGACTTTTCCGAGAAGCACGGCCAATCGCGGTTCGCCGGTTGAAACGATTTTACGGTGCGGCGATGGCCTCGCAGGGGAGCCACGTGAAAAACCGTTGACTTTATCGACGCTTCACCGTCAGCGCTACAAGCCGGCCAGCCCCGCCGGAGGTTTTACGAGCCGGAAAATCGGTTTCGGGGCGGCTTCCCGCGTGGAGGCGTCGATCGGTGACGGACGTTCCCAACGTGTACGCGGTTTGGATCGCGTGCCGACTTTCAATTTCAGCGCCCAACGCGAGCGAGTCCCGCCGCGGCTATAAATCCAGATTTCCGTGTTTCCAGTGAACCAGTCTCTCCGCCGCGACGGTGACGCCGGCAGCGCGCGCGCGCGCTTCGCCGGCGACCGGCTTAGGAAATCATTAGATCCGGCATGCTGGATGAAGCACTCGATGCGCAGATGAAAGTGTAGCGGAGCGTGTTATGCAAAGCAGACCAGGAGAAACCAGAAAAGCCTGATCCGGTGATCGATCTGACCTGTTGCTACGAATTCGCGTCGACGATCGATCCCGTCCCGCTCGCTCATTGACCGAACGGGCACGATTGGGAGACCGGTTTTGCCAGGAAACTTCCGCTCTGATTTTGATCTGTCTCCATGGAAATTTCTCGATGAGAAGTCTCTGGAACATTGAAACAGTAAGAGACGAGGGAAAAGGAGTCTTTTAGAGGATCCCGAGCGGATATCGAGGAGGAAGGATAGGCGAGTGCTAAGTGACGCTTCCAGTTCGATGCTTCCAGAGGTTTCTCCGTCGCCGAACGATTCCTCCCGTTTCGTCGGATCGGCTGTTTCCACGAACATTGATCAACGGGGGATTCCTCGGGCCCGGAACCTACCGATTTGAATTGCAAATCGCGCGAGAACATGGATTTCTTCGGGACCGTTCCCCGTGTCGCGCGGTCCCCGTAAAACGAAAGTCGAGCGGACCACGGAGGATTCAGGGGACGTTGGAAGAGAAGTATAAATAAAGGAGAGGGGAAAAACTATGTCGGTCGCGGGGACCAGGAAATTATGCAGAGTGGGTCTGGCCGCAGTGCTGGTCACCGCGCTGTGCGTGTTGACTCTGCTCGACTCGCCGCCGCAACTCCCGGATCCACCGGCGGATCCTCCTCCCACGCCTGGTAAGCAGTTTTCTTCGTAGGTTAGCCGCGCTCCATCGCCTCCAACAGCGCGCGACCCTTGCCCTTTCGTTATCGCTGAACGGTTCGCAGCCCGCAACGCCGCTAACGCGCCTTTGGCACCTAACAATGCCAGCCTCCTTCGCGCCGGGGATTAGATACGCCCGGCCGCCAAGCCGCGCCGCGTCTTTAGGACGTTTCCAAGAAGCCCGGGGAGTAGGCCGGATAAGCTCCGGGATATTCTGGAAACATTGAAGACAGAGGCTGGTTAGATTGAACCGGCAACTGACCACGGTACTCGACCGTTGTAAAAGATATTTATGACGCATTAGAGAGGAGGTAATGATAATTGGATATGAAACGGCTGTATAGTTTGTATTTAATGCTGAGGTAGGCTGGATAAATTCAATTGGCAACTAGGTGTAGCGTCCTGTGTTTCAAGGGGATATTTCTGATGCATTAGAGGGAATGTAATGATAGTTGGGAGTGAAGTAGGTTTATAGTTTGCGCTACGTTTTGCATTTGCGATTGAAGGGTACCATTTGCGCGATTTTTTCGGAGGATTTGATGTTGCTCTGACTCTAGTCTTTGGAGCAGTGCAATGTATAATAAGAAATATAAATACATAATTATATGTAGTATAAACAGGTGATTAAATAGATTTGTGACGTTACTAAACGTTTCTTCGTTTAAAAATTTGATTAAAGTACTGTCCGATGATACGATCAACTTATATTTATGAATAATGGTTCTATATGTAAATCGAATTCAAGACGTTAGCTCTGCGATGTAAATTCATATCCATAATTTAACTTTCAGATTTTATCAAGTTGTTTACTCTCCCGCCATTCCAGATTCAAAGATTGCTCCGAAACAATTTAAGCTTCGAATCGTTTTGTACTTCGAGTTCCTCCATGTCGCACCGAAATGGAGAAACTTGCCAGCAACTTCAATAGAAATAGATAATAGGATAAGTTTTACGAGATATGTTGAGATGCAATAGAGATTTCAAACATCGATGCGAGCAGCATAATATCGTACTGTACTCCAAAGGATAAGGAAGTTATTGGGTTGAAGTTACCTTAGATCCTCCATCGTATCTTCGCAAGATATGCAAGCCATTAAATCTGAGTTTAATTTACGGAATAACAATTAATTAATAAATAAAAAAATATTAATTTCTAAGGAATTTATAATATCGTTTCAAATTAAAGATGCCCTCGACGTAATACGGAACCGCATACTTTGTAAAAGTAGCTATATAAACAAATCGTTTCATTGAAAATAATGAATAGTATACTTATTACGGATCCAATATCATTAGAGGTAATATCAATATGCTACGGTAATCTTGCTGAATACTTCTGCTTAGCCGTTCGCACTATTTCCTATCCGCGAATAGTTTCCCAGCATTACCGCCGACCGATAAGAAAACAAAAATCCACCACATTTTTCTAACTTAGCGATATGTTTCCTATTTACGCCCAGCCGAGTCGATTCCTATGAATAAAAAACTAGTTACACTTTATTGGCTAGTAGACTGTTACTATGAATTGTTAGTAGTCCTGAAAACAATTATTCCCAGAATAGACTATAAATCAAAAAATCTATATTCCCAATTTGAAGGACTACTACAACGAAATATAATCACGAAAGAAGGCCAAATAATCTTCCAACTAAATTTTATAATCGCAACACGAATTACAATTCTTTACACACAGTGTATTTTATTGTATACATTACAACCGGATACTACGATTACTAACCAGTTAATAATATTCAGATGATATCGATACGAGATCTTAGATTTTTAAATTACTACAGGATACCATTGATCTACATGTGTGTACATTAAATTAAATATTGCTAACAGAAAATAATCATATCATTTCGGCATGGAAGAAACGTATAATTCAAATCGATTTAAAATCTTCACTACCGATCGAGCTTATAAAGCAAGGATTATCCATCTAAACATATCAAAATTTGTTCTTCGAGTTAAAATCAAATAAAACCACCCTCAATATCCTACGTTTAAATTGCCAATAAATTTATTCATACTCGCATACTAACCTCCTGACACTAACTTACTAAACGTAGTCCCACAACATCCATAATAAAATACCTAGTACTCAGAAAGCAACCTCCAGCAAACATTTCAGAAATCCAGCGATCGCATCTCCTATCCCCTCGCAGAACGACAACCGCAGTCGTTTAACCAACTCGCCGCTATCCCCCGCGGGGGCTTCCCCGATCAAGTCGTCTTAATTCGCGTCCAAAAAATCTCGGTACACGGAGGCCGTAAATCAACCGGGACGCTTTGAGACAGGACGTTATCGCGGCTCAAATCTCTACACGGTTCCTTGGCGGTAGCGACTTCATTAGGTGACATAATTTACAGCCGGATTCGTGCGAGTGATCGGTCGCCGCGGCTTCGGCTTCCTCCGGTGCGCAGCCCCCATGTTTTCCCAGCATGGCGGTCGCTGCGACTAGGTTTCGCAGAAATTACGATAGGAAAGGTCAATAGAGAGAGAAAGAGAGAGAAAGCTAGGAAAAATGTAGATATTTCTGATGGCTTCTTTTCATCCTTATACTCTGGCCACATGTTTATCAACCCTTTAATATAGTAGTGAGTAATCCTTGCCGAGGGTCAAGATCGGAAACCTAATACTTTTTCAGATCGAAGTCGAAAATATAATATTCTGTAACTTGAGATATTTCGCTCCATAATGATCTATGTATAGCTGAATATTATTAATACTGTCAATTATTAATATTGTTCTGTCCTGATGCCATTTATGTCATAAAGCCATTAAGAGGTCAACCCCAACGGCAATGCCTCCATCCGTTTCGACCGAAATTTCGAAAAACTTAATTTAACTCCCCACATTCTTATAGCTAATCTTAGTTGTCAGCTGATAATATTAAATTTAATAAGATGGTTTACGCATCTCGCAGATGTACGTTGGAAGAAGTAATCGGGGAAACGAGAACTAAGAATTTTAATGATTCTAGGCGTATCGTTGCTTGTAAAATCGTCAAAAACGTCCGGTCCCCGAGGATTAATCCGCGTATTACAATCGCGCGGCTCGCCGCTTCGCCGCGACGTTTACTTTCCTCGTAAAGCTGGCGGACCGTGGCGTCGGGCAGGGAAAGGAGGAAGCGGCGTCGCTGAAAGGGCACGAAGGAGCTGCGCGCGGGGGTTAACCGCGTATCACGTAATACGCGGTCCTTGGGTCAACCGTAGACACCACTTTTAACGACACGCTACACGCACACAACTGATCTCTCTTTCTTCTTCTCTATCTTCTGTTATTCTTTCTCTATTTCTTTTCTCTTTCATACTCTCTCTCGCACTCTTACTCGCCTTTCTCTTTTATACTCTCTCTTGCATTCTTTCTCCCTCTTTTCTTTTTTATACTCTCTCTTACAGACACTCTCTCCCGGTCTCTCCCTTTTCTCTTTCATATTATCCCTCGCACACTCTCTCTCCCTTTTCTCTTCCATACTTTCTCTCTCTCGTACGTACACTCTCTCTTCTTTCATACTCTTGGTCTCTCTTCTCTCCCCTCTCTTTTCCTTCCCTCTCTCGCTCTGTTCGGCGAGAACAGCATAGCGTTTCGCTCGAACGGAACAAATTGTTTTACACGCCTGAGACGCGAGGATTAATCCGGCCGCGTGATCCCCCTCCTAGCTCCCCCCTCCCGCACTCTTTCCCGATCGCCGCGGGTTTAATTGGTCGCGGATATTCGCTTCGTTTGTGCCTGAAAATTATTCTAATGCTCGCCACTCCTGCCGGTCGGGGTGAACTTATAATGGAATATTGGAATCGAGCGGAGGCGTGAGCGTTCGGAATTTCGTCGATCGGTACAGGGAGAATTTCAAGGAATTTTATTCCGTTTAATTTGATTGCGGGTATATTCGTACGGTGAGGTTTCTCCGAGACTTTCTGTCAGAGCATTCGGATCTGGAGTCGGTGAAGAATTTGAGGGATGATAGTTGGTCATGAGGGAAGATCAACATCTAAAAATCTAGACTAACGAAAATTCAATTTAGAGTTTCTTTTCGAGTTACTTGTAATTAAAAGTTTGTCTATAACGACGCGTTAATCTCCCGTCTATTTCTCTCACTCGCACGAAACAGTTTGCGACACTGACCTGCCCCGTGAACGTTGGTATTGACGGATCGTTACAGTTTGGAGTGATGTTCGATCGTTAATAACACGAAGATGTATCCAAAACCAAAATTGTATTAGCATCGGTGTTTACTTTCGTTCCATAGAATCATCCCCTAAAGTATCTGCTACGCATAAATGTCTCCGTTGGAATTGAAAATAGAAAAATATATTTAAAATAAAAGCTGTATTATTCAAGATAATGAACATGGTGGATACAAGGGAATTATTTTCAAAGTTATTTGAACGTCACCGATGTTACCTTAGACCTCATTGCGTATTTTCAAATTGATAGCTAGTAGTTGGCGTCGACATCAGTTGAACAACCTGTATATTATGATGTTGGAATGACCTTGAAGTTTAAATACATACATATATGTATAATTATAAATAAGTAACTTCTCATCACTTATTACGGCGAATGCGTTTCGAGCGTAATGGTTCGGAAAGCGGGCTCTTGAATCGATCGTTTTCCAAGATTTAATATGTATGTTAACATAAATCCTTTTCATCAGTGATAAGTATACTAGTAAGTATACAGGGAAAGGCATGTGGAAACCTGTAACTCATAGGTGATATACATGGAATCATAATTAGGGTGTCCAACTTAAAACTAGTACTTACGAGGCCAGTAAGCGGCGTGCAACCCCTCGGCAACAAAAAGACATTTGGCGGATTGTAGGCTTCAAGGATACCATTTAACAGGCTATTCGAGTAGTTCTCTAGAACGTCATTATCTTTCTTCCATCGGGTATACAACTGTTTTTGCAACGACTGGTGCCTACTATACTTGGAACCATAAAATAAAACAAGGCGGGTAATCTCGTAACGGGTTCCTAATATCTATTACTTAAGATGTCCATGAAAAAAACAGCGAAATTAATAAGATCAATACAGAAGCAGAACGAAAAAGAGGAAGTCATTCCAAAATTATAGAAGTTTCCATGATTAAACATCCCTCCCCCGCCCCACGCGAACTTATCCGCCACGGGAAATTACGGAAGCGTGGAATTACGGAATTACTGAAATACACGGACGCAGTATCGAGTATCCATATCGATTATAATAAAGCACAGATATAAAATACGAATAAAAATGTGATTCATTACCCTTAACCATGGCGTAGGACGGTGGTAACGTTATTACGCGACATTTTATGTGATTCCACGTGCCTGATAAGCCCTGATATCGAATTAACAAAGGCGATCACAGCCAGCCTTGAAACGAACCCGCGGAGGCCGGCCATTACAGAACCTGAAATCGTCAACCGGCGGATTTGCATATGCATGCATTACCTATATACCGAGCGGGGGCATGCGTGCGTAACTCGCGTAATTCACGAGCGAATTCATTACACGGATCGATCGGCGGGGAAAAGAAATGAAAATATGGCGGGGGCAACGCGGTCGTGACTCTCGGCCGTTCGTGACTCCGCGGCGAAACAAGTTTTCCCGTCGGGTACGCAAGGCGATTCGCGCTCGCTATTAGAGGCCAATTAACGAACGGGCCGATTGAAATTCTGTGTATGCAACCAATCGGCGCTCGGCCGAGGTCAGTGACGCTCGTGCACCTCGCCGGTCACCGGAGTGGAAGTTAAGGAAATAAACTCGGCCGGGGCGGCGCGGCACGGACGATTTTGACATGCCACCGTCGTCAACTGACACGCAATCGTATTCACGGTGTGTACAGCGTCCGGCTTCGACCGGTGACGCAACACTTCCATCCGGTCGACGAGCTACGATGTGTTTGGACAGCCTTTCTAATCGTGTTCTATTGAATTAAACATGGGCGTGCGTACCCTTGGCCAGCGAAGTATAGTTTTCATACAATCGAGCTACGGGTAGATGCGAGAATTGCTCGGCGTCAGCTTCGATTCGATACCGAAAGAATGTTTCTTACGAATTCGTTTCTAATCGAGGAGTATATAGAGCATAGTATGCTATCGGTAATTACTCGAGTAGAAAGGTAACTCGATTATATTAAATAGTAATGAAACATTGGAAATATTGTAACCAATTTAATTCGATTAAAAAGAAATAGGAAGCCGCAGGTAATTATTAAAGTAATCGAAGTAACGGTTGGCGATCGGTCGGGACCAAAGATTATTTACTAAAAGAAATCGCGTATTAAAGAAAATTACAATCTATTTCTGGACTTGTTACTCCCCCCCGGGTTCGCCGACAGTCGTAAAACGATCAACAAAACTCAGTCGATCAATGGAACTGCCGACAAAACCGATGGACGTCTGTATACTCGTACTCGACTCTCAAAAGGAGAGCTAAGAATCGGCCATTTTTCATTCGTTTCGCCATAAACGTCCCCCGTGATGAACTCAAACTAATCAACGTAAACGTCCCTGACCCCTCGCGCGGTTTTTTCCTTGGTCGGCATTCGAAGACGGTAGGAATCAGAAATTAATTTCCCGTGGAACGCGGTCCGCGTGGTCTCGCGTTAATGAGTAGAACGTACCCGTGTGTCACGTGACTTATCGCGGTCTCAATCTCCGCCGGGCTGACTACCTATCCTGACACATTTTCTAGGTGGCGAGCCCCCCGGCACAAGAAGCATCGTGGCTTACTCCTGGGCGCGGAGATTGGCACTCGATTACAGACCCTCCAAGGAGTGCGACGGTAATGGAACGTACGGCGCGACGTTAAATACGTTCAAGTTAGCCGACGCGAAGTGGCTCGAGACAATCCCCGGACAGCTCTTCCTGTACAGCGCCCACTTGGACCTGAGAGTGGCCGGTTATCCGAGCTTGAGGGTGATTGGCGTTAAACGCGGACCAGTGCCGACCTCCGGCCTTTTCTGCACCGTTTGGTGAGACACTTTCCGTAGACGGATTCCCGCTACAACCCTCCGCCGCATTATACTTTCAAGAGCCGTCCTCCTCCGCTTTGCGCAACACTGACGTAACACGCAGCTCCTCTTTTTCCTGTCCCCTTAATTAGACCTCCTCGCGAATTAAACGGATGGGATCGCCTCTACCACTCGGCATTCGCGTAACACCGTTCCAACCTAACCCAGGTCTCCCTGAAATCGTCTCCGTGGTAACCGGCGGTCGTTTATATCATAATTCAAACAATTATGCAAATCGTGAGAACGGGAAGCTTGTTTACCATAGACTTCGCCGGGCTCCTTTGTCTCCGGCATGATATCCGAGAGTACTGTGCGGAATTGGAAAGATGTCCTGTGGAAGGAAGACGCTTTGACTTGCGTCACACCTATTTCGGCTTTGAATATTCAAATGGTTACATATACTAATCTGATCGCATTTGAAGCACATAACGGAACACCCTTTTTGCTCCTGTGCTGCATCCAGACTTTCCAGCTCTGCAGAGTACCAACCGTGACTAACCATTGCTAACCTGAAACATTTCGTTTCCCGTTGTTCTCCAGGTACAAGGAAGAGGACAGGGGCAGATCGGTGAGCGTGGAGGCGCTGGTCTCGACGATTTGGCTGGACGAGTGGGGCGAGACGGTGGACAGTTACGCGGGCGTCCTAGTCGGCTGTCAATTATCCGCGGACGCGTCGGCCGAGCCGTCCAGGGTATACGTGGGCCCGGAGCCCTGCCACAAGAATGCTAGTCATAGTTTAACGATAAGCCCGGTGGACGGGAACGAGCGCCGCGAGAGCCGCAGGGAGTTCACGTTGTGCATCAAGGGGCTGGACTTCGACGAGGACATATCCTCGAGGCTGGTCGCGTTCGTCGAGCTCCACCGGATCCTGGGCGCGGAGCTCTTCTACTTTTACGTGTTCGACGTGCACGAGAACGTGCTGAAGGTGCTCAGGCTGTACGAACGCTCGAACGTGATCAGATGGTTCAATCTGACGTTGCCTGGCGACCTGCCGAACGAGAAGCACGCCAGGAGGAGGCTGCTGGGCGAGGACATCTGGATCAAGAGGCGGATGGAGCTGATACCATACAACCACTGCTTCTATGATAACCTCCATCGGTCGGAGTTCGTGTTACCGATCGACATCGACGAGGCGATCGTGCCGGTCACCAGGCGGAACTGGTACCAGCTGCTCCTGGACGAGAGGATCAAGCTCGGTAGGAGCTTCAAGGACTTCGCTTCGTACGCGGTCAGAAACGCTTACTTCTTCCCCGAGCTGCAAAGCAGGAACCAAACGGACCCTGCCAGGTTCGACGCCGATTCGACCGGCGGATTCTTAGGCGATCTTGATTATCTGAATACCGTGAGGACAGCGTCCATCTCGCCAGAAGGCGACTCGGTGAAGAGCTTCGTCTCCACCAGGCGCGCGTTGACCGTGCACAACCATTACGCGCTGACCACGCTGAACCCGTCAACGAGACGCGCGCATCACTTCGACCCCGACGACGTGCTCAAACACCATCACAGAGCCTGCGACGGGAGACACCTAGATTGCGAGCTGCTGATGGAGGATGTTCGAGTGGACGAGTCCGCGCTGAGGTACGCGGACGAGCTGCGGGCCAGGATGGGAGTGTTCTTGACCGACCTCAAGGCATTCGATTAGGATAAATGATTCTGTAAATAATAAAGATAAACGTTCATCCAAAGCTGTTTCTTTCATTGCGAATGTTCGTAGTTGTATCGCCCGCTGGCAGAGGTGCACGATGAAGATCGTAAAGGATATAAAATTGGTTATGATACCAAATCCGCGATTTGCTCGCGTTTAGGGCATTCCATGGCCATGAAAGCTCTACCACTATGCATTACAAGTCTTCTGAGAGGAAATTAAGTGGAGCGAGCAGGAAATTCTCAGGAGGGTCAGTGTGCCGTCTCGGCTTGTAGATAATCAGCTAACTTCTCATCGGCGTACCTCACTTGTTCAGAGGTGTTACTCGGAATTGAGGATGATGCTTCTGACGTTGATTGTTTACTCGACTCTAAACGCTCCCCGTATCCTTTGTTCTGCCGTCTATTTCCCGGCTAAGGCGTCCTGCAACTATAGAAATCGAATAATAGTACTCGGCAATCTATA